GCAACAATATCTTTTCTGGACGTGCAACTAGCAAGACGCGAACAAGATGGGACACTCAAAAGATCCATTCACAGAAAACCGACATGGAATGGACAACTCATCAGCTTTCACAGTTGGGTGCCTCTGTATACAAAACGAAATCTAATCCGCTCACTGACTCACAGAATCCACAACATTTGCAGTCCGGAAACCATAGAAGAGGAGCTGAAGACCCTGAAAAGAATCCTCCTTGAAAACGGTTACCCGGAACGTTTCATCACAAAAGCCATGAAGCCCAAAACACAAAAACCGTCCATGCTTACTGCTCCCAAGAAACTTCTCTATTTGAATCTACAATTCAACGGAGATTCTTCAGCAGAAATACTGAGAAACCGCCTGTGCCATTCACTGAAGAAAACCTTCTTCGCAGCTGAACTCAGACTAACTTTCTCTACGAAACCAATGATTCGCACGAACGTGAAGGATAAGCTTCCACTGGGGGCCTCATCAATGTGCATCTACCAATTCACCTGCTCATGTGGAGCTAGGTATGTCGGCCGTACCCAGCGTTTGCTATCCAAACGAATCAGCGAACACTTACCTTCATGGTTTTATAAAGGAGAAAGAAGATCCCCCCGCCACAGCTCTATCCTAGAACACTTGATCGAATCCGGACACCAAGCAAACCCACAAAACAACTTCTCAGTTATCTACACAATACGTGGGAATCTTGCCAAAAGAGTACGAATTAAACTTCTTCAAACTGCAGAAGCAATGGCAATTCACATATTGAATCCTGAACTCTGCATACAAAAGAAGTTTGTTCAGTCACTAAATCTACAATGGTCCTGATCTATCTCAACACCAAATACGTAATTTTGTCTTACCTCTTTCTTCTTTGTTTGTCTGTTTCTTAATTGCATTATTTTCTACCCCTACCCTCTATTAAATCTCTACCCTCATGACGACTGTTGCTAACTCCATTTTCGTTTATTTTTAAGTGAATTCTACTCAGATTATTAACTTGACTCTCATTCATTTTTCATTGAACCCTAGCAATTAGATTACGTCACCCAACCTACTTTTGTAACTTTATTTTAGTTTCTAACCGATTAACGCCTTCTAAATTACGTAATTTGTTGTCAAAAATTAACAATTGCATTAACACATCTTTGGAAATATTCCTTTTGTTGCCAAGAAAAATTACTATAAATTTGCGGTTTGTACAGCTTGAGAATGATATCGCCGAAAAGAGTAACTCTTTGCTGAACGCCTTTTCTTTTCTAGATTTTTATGCTCCGATAGTCTGACTGACCCTGTTCGACTACTTTGACCTGACAATCATCGCAGGACATCAGATAAAGCAAACTGTTTTGTTTAATTGACTCCATAGGGTCCTTTAACCGACAGAGTTTGTGGGTTTGAATGCTACTTTTATTCCTGCCTTGTTAAGAGTTCTCCGTAAGGTTTCCGAGGTACCATCTTTGTATGGAAGTACTACTGACGACTTAAATTCTTCATTAATGTCTTCTTTCTGTGCATGTTTGACATGTACTTTGTCATTAATATTGTCACTATCCCTACCATTATTACTAATTTTATTTTCACATTTTCCTACATACTTCCTGATTAATTTGTCAGGGTAATATTTAAGTTTGAAAGCTACTCTTATATGCCTCACTTCCTGCCTTAGATTTTCCTTGGTACTACCTAATTTTTGTGCTCTATTACGTAAACATTTCATTGATCCTATTTTTACTGACGTCGGGTAGGATTATCCGAAATCCAAATATCGGTTTGAATATGTGGATTTTCCGTAAATACTAGTGTTTCACTTCCATGCCACAACCTAACATTGGGAGTTCACATTCCATTAATACTATTTCATTGTGATATACTTAATAAACAAATTACTATGAAATTATATACTACCACAGTGCTCAAGTTTTCTCACATATATTCACTATTGTGTCCATCTTAACTAGAAACTGCTTCCGTGGAAACTAGCAATCAGTGCGCCTAGTAAGTGAACATTCCAACCAACACCGTTGAGACATTTAACTGTCATATGAGTGGTACTCTTGTAATAAACACATAGCACTTTGATATGAAACTCGTCACAATAAACAGTGACTATCATATCCAATTATTACCAGAGAAGTAGAACTTTTGGTCTAAAATTTCGGCGCACGTATGCACCGTGATGAAAGATCTGCATAGATTGCCATCAGATGACAAGAATCCATTAATTGGCTCAGCTTATGGAGAATAAATGAGATTCTGAGTGGATTTATTTATCCCGGAAATATAAGTCATGCTCATTATTGCTGGATTGCATTTATCGACTTACCACCAATGGTTAAATAAACAATTTCCTCAAGTCTCACTATCACAAAACACAAAGCTGATTTTGTTTTCGCCCTAGGAAACCGATAAACTTAACAAGTTCTTTGAATAAATCGGATAGCGGTCATGTACCTATGCAGCTAACAACTACAGTACAAGAACTGTGCATAATTAACTTACATCTTTTAATAAGAACGTACCTCCCTTATTGAGTAAATTCACTTGGATATGTTTGTTTCGAAATACCTCTGCAGATGCCAAGCAGAAATTTCTTTCAGTGAATAAATTTTACGCTTTACTGTAATGCTTATCACTAAAAAAAATAGAACTCATGTTGTAACCCGGGTGTAGGTTAGATGCAAGGGACTATAACGAGCACTGCAGCTTGTAATATATCGACTCAGACCAGTCAGGCACTCACAAAAGTAAACATTCAACAACATATATATTGAGAAAACTAAAACAGTAAGTGACTTTTAGCTGAAAATGATCTCAGCCTCGTATTGCTCAGTGGGTCCACTGTCACATTCTCTCTGAAGAAACACGTGTGAGAATTTACAGACATGGATATATATAAATACATATATATAATACCTCATTGATATTAGAAACAAATGTGAGGAAAACATGATGGCTAGTCATCTAAACAACACTTCATAACGTCACTTTAATCTGCACTTACTTATGTCTTTTTAAATTAGCACCTCCAGAGATGACAATATATATACCAAAACGCTGCAAAAATATGTAGCGTTAGCAGGAGACTGACAATTTAAAGTCGACTCAGGGTTCCCCCCCGGAAAAGATGTCCTAATTAATGACCGAACATTGGACCTTCACATTTGATTTTTTTAGTAAATTCACAAACATCAGTTAATGGGCATTTTAAAGCTTGTCCAGTCCTGAGACTGGATAATCTTAAAGCGATATGTTTTACTTTAACGATTGTTTGACTAAAAGGATTAACCAAGAGTGTGGAGTACATCTTCTGTAAGAACGTTTAGATAAGCGTACGTATATCGCATAGTATGAAAACAATTCGCTCCACCTAACTGACTTGCATGATCAACATTCTCTATGGAAGCGATTTTTCTGCATAGTGCTCATGGTAAAACTACATATTCACGTCACATAAACAATTCTGAAATAAGGTTAATAGGAAAGGGAAAAGCCTCATGGGATCAATCTACTGTAACAAGAAGCGAGGTGTCGGATAAACCATGGACAATTGAAGTCGTCTAGAAGACGACAGACGGTGTTGGATTGCGTATATTATCTCAGAAGACTATGCTCACATATGAAACTTAGGACTATAGTAAGCAGTGCTGTACCGGCACTCATAAAAATTATAGTTGCGGTGGCCGAACCAGATGCAGTAAAGTATAAAAACAGATTTGTATACATCTGTTTTTTCATCTAACCAAAAGGTTTCGAGGTCACTGCGAACGACCGCAAAAACACAGGCAATTACGGTGATGATACACAACTCAAGTCAGGTTAGTCACCAGGGTCGGATGGACTCCGCCCGAAACTGACTGTCTTCTTAGCTGATGTTGTATACTCGCTGATTACGGATATTCTTTGAAACTATTTGACACATGTACGGTTACAGAGAGGCTGGAAGAATGTAGATATAAGCCGTCTTTGAAGAGGGGAACATGCAATTGGTATCTAACAACTGGAATGGGATATGTGGAGGGGAAGCAATAATTCAGACCAGTACGATGCTGCTTAACAAACCAACGGCTAGATAGGGAAAACTGAGTAGAAGCCCAGGGGCAAAACCTACTGTTATAGGTAGTTAATAATTGCGTAAAGCAATTTGCAAGGTGTCCCATCTAGGTCACTTCACCAAAATAAAAGGGTTGAATTGGTATGATATCAATGTGATCGGTTTAGGAGCTACCTACTGGTTAGAAGGTAAGTGTTAAAGATGTACTGTCGATGAGTTTAAAACACTTATACTTCTCATTATCATGCCGACTGAGAGGTGACTTATCATGTACTAAACGGTGATTTGGGCATTGACCTTTTTAATCCTTTTCTCCATTTAGGTGCTCAACACGTAATCGAACAGAGGTGAGGAATTTAGGCTCTCACAGAGGGTGGTCAATGACTGAAACTCCTTACATGATCAAATGATATCACCTCGTGGTGTACACTTATAAGGAGAAATTACATCTCTACAGAGGTGTATATTGTAAGTTTTTATACGCTATATGAACCCACCACTTTTCGTCATCTGTATCTGAAAAACTATGACTTCGTACCCAAACACAGAAGCCAAATTTAGTTGAGAACAGAGTCCAATTCAAATGTGACAACCGAATATTTACAGGTTTTGACCACCTATCATTAATGTAAGTGTAGAACCTAGGCATTGCGTTAGAATGCAATTCCATATTAGAAAGTTTATTTGACCATCTATGTTGTAACTTAAAGAAACTATCACTTAACCTTGACTCATTGTAACTCAATATTGATAGAACCCACCATTAGCTTATTAGCAATCAAGAGACAATATAAAATGACTTATTTATTTATGAATGAATGACAGATCCAGAAGTGGTACACGTTAGCAGATGTGGGTAGAGCAGGCATCATGAAAGTAGGCGAAACTTTACCTACATTCAGTCATATGGCTTACACCAGATACAGTTAAGTGTACGCACATTTTAGGTGTTACAACAATTTTTCAATGGCTGAAATGATGTGCTGCAACTTGTTACTGTCCACATATCCGTCACCATTCTGAACAGACAAAGTATTGTTAAGAAAATACACAAAAACATACCTTTTTAGAATGTAGAAGTGGACCATCCACAACTTGAACTTCAAACCAGCCAGTTGACTGAGGCGTCCCTTCACCAGTCTTAGCAATAAGTTAAAATAACATTTGACTTACAATCTCAAGCTTCCCGGGGAAGCGACGCTCCAACTGCTGCTTGAAGCTGTTGTACTACAAAAAACATCCGAAATTGGTACAAACTTATGCGCGTATTAACATATATTCTCAAGTAAAAAATTCTAGGGCACTTTCTGGGATTCATTTTATGAGGAATTACTATGTTCGAGGTTGCTTTCGGGTGAAAATGTTTCATTTCCACGGAAATGTTTGCCTTGAGTTGCCCCAAAATTTCCCATTTATGTATACACTCATAACTATATACGTATATAGTTACAGCATACAGTAAGCCTGGGGTACCCGAAGCTTACAACAATTCTGAAGTTATTCTAACCTATTCTTCGATAATGCCTTTTTATGGTGAATGAAGATTTATCTACCACTATGTTGTGAAATAACGCTGGTCGTGCTTAAAAAGAGAGCTGGGTGCTGAAGTAATTCCTTTCGTTCTGAAGTAACGCTAGTCCATGCTTAATGTGTCTCGTGAGTGCTGGAACAAAGCTGATAAGCAAACCCAATAGGTTCTGATCTACTCCTGGAACACGGCACTGAATTAGTGCGAGTCATGCTGAAAACCAGCACTGAGTTCTAGTCCGTGCCAAGAAAGAATCCACTTCAGAATTTACTCGCTACAGAATGTTAGAATTATTTCAGAATTAGTGAGCTTGGGACAATATAACAATTATCATACATCGACACATAAACGCCTGCGAATATCCAAAGACCTACCTTTGGCTCATAACCTCATGCCCCACTAAAAAGAGATAGATTAAGCTTTCAACGAATACACCCTACCAATAAACAACATGTATCTTTAGACCCATCGTAACGCGTTTTCAAAATGCCCACGTAAAAATATAGCAAGATTATTTAAATAAACCACACAATCACGGTAGACGTTAAATGCCATGTTCTAGTAGCGCTGTTAAAATTTCCCTTGGAAATTTTTTTTGTCAATAATTTTTAATGAAATTGCGTTATATATTATCTGGATTGATGAGAATTCCCATTTTCTGGCCTGCTATTTTGGAGTCCGCGTCATGTAATCTGACTGCGACACCCCGTAGCATATTAATAATAATAATAATAATTTGCTTTATTCCAAAACAGTACTTGTGATACAGAATGGAATTCTCAGCATTTTTACTACAGTATTGCATCCAGTTAGTACATTGTCAATAAAAAAGAATTCTACATAGATTGAGGAAACCACAGTTCATTATTACAACAATACATTGGCATGTTCAGTAGCAAAGGTAAAGCTGAAACAGTGTTTGAAGGTGTTAGAAAAGTGGGAGCTGTCTTATTAACTGGCGTAAGCGAAAGAAAGAGAACAAAGCAGCACATAACGGAAAAAGAAGAGAGAGGAAAGGAACAGAAAGAAAGGAAATGTTGAACCTATTGATGAAGTGGGTTGGAAAGATGGGGTCCAGTTGTACTACTGACTATTTAATGAATTATAGGTGTCACGCCTAATGCTTTCTTTATCACACAGAACGCGAGCTAAGTAGGGTATGGTTGAGTTTTTGTACTTGCTGGTACGAGCATATAGTTTTCTATATTGGCTTCTGGTTTTACCTGATGAGATGCAAGGGGAGAGTTGTGAGTGAAGAGGGTGGTGTGAGTTAGATAAAATGGACTTGGCCCATTTTTCACATGAGTCCATGTGCCTGTCAACCAAAATATTAACAAGCTGGTTAAGTGGCACGTTGCTTACTCTGCTGACAACATTTAACATCCTGCGTAATATGTTGTAGTCTTTCTTCAGTAGCCCAGGAAAAACTAAGGGGGAACAATAGAGAATGATAGGCAGGATGCGAGAATTAACGAATTGTAGGAGTAGGGGTTGGGTAATACCAGAATGTTTTAACTTCTTAATGTAGAAGGCAAGACGGAATATTTTCTTAGAAATTGCTAAGATATGAGACGACCAGGAGAGATCAGCAGATAGAATGACACCTAGGTATTTAATTTCCGATTTGGTTTCTATTTCAGTGCCGTCTATTTTGCATACCTCGTGAGAGCCAAACAGTTTGTTTAGGTCGGATTTATGCCTAAAAGTGAAATTGACTGTTTGGCATTTGGAAGGGTTTAGAGTAAGACCATTTTCCTTGGACCACTGGTTGATTTCTGACAGAAAGCCATTAAGTTTAGAGCAGTCGCTTTGACATTTGATAGGCAAAGATGCAGACAGATCATCAGCGTATTTGACAAAATTAATGTCATTTGAAGATGGTAAGTTATGTAGAAAGAAGGAAAAGAGAAGTGGGGAGAGTACAGCGCCTTGGGGGACTCCGGCTTCAGTGAGTGCGGCAGAGGATGATTTACCTTTGTATACGGTGTACTGCTTTCTGTTAGAGAAGTAGGAATGCAACCAGTTAGTGACCCAGGACTCAGTTTTCGTCAAAGAGAGCTTATTTAGAAGGAGACATCTAGGAACAGAGTCGAAAGCAGAAGTGAAGTCAAGAAACGTGCAGCGGACGTATTTAGCACCTTTATCTAATGATGAGACAATGTTGTTGTGTAAGACAGCTGCAGCGTCTAATGTACTCCTACCCTGTCTATAGGCAAATTGTTTTGGGTCTTCGAAGTTTTTAAGGGAGGGTTCGAGTTTAAGAAGTATTAGTTTTTCCATAACCTTTAGAAACGGGGAAGTGATGGCAATGGGTCTGAACTTTACGTTCTTGCCATTTCCAGGTTTAGGGACAGGGACAATTTTGATGTCTTTCCATGCATCAGGTACGATATTTTTGGAGAAAGAGGCATTTAGGATGTTGGTTAGTGGAGAACACAACACATCTGCACATTGTTTTAGAACATAGGCAGGTATACCATCAGGACCTAGGCTACGTGAGGGCTTGAGTGTTTTAAGACATTTTAGAACATCGAGAGTATTAAAGTCATGAAAGTTTTCAGCAACATGATAGGTAACATTAGAGGTAGTTAAAGTAGAAGGACAGCGTATAAAAGACTGATTAAGAGCATTAACATCATAAGAGGGAAAAGCATTACAACGCTTACTATTACCAGTAATTTCATTAAAAAGTTTCCACATACTGATTGGAGATTTACATGATAAAAGTGTATCATTATATATAGCATTAAGATTTTTGATTTCAGATTTGATCTGAGCATTAATCTTTTTGAGTCCTAACTTGTCATTGGATTTGTACAAAGTTTCTTTTTTCCTGCGAGGTTGTTTGAGATAAGGAGATGAGAAGCGGTCAAGACGTTTGAATAGAGTTTGTTTGGGACAACATATATCAAGGCAAAACTTGAGATAATCCGTTATATTGACGATTGTGTCATCTAATGAACTTTCATGGAATAAGTCCCAGTTAGTATTTTGTAACATGCACCTTAGATTGAGTAAGTTTTCGGATGAGTAGCATCTTTGTTGTGCTTTCATAGACAGATGCGAGAAGACTTTAATGTGTGTTTTGCTGTAAATTTTTGGTAGAACACGAACAATAGAGTGATCAGAGTTGAGGATCGGTGCACGTTTACGTGCTTCATAGATTCCTTCGTCATTTGTAAAAACTAAATCCAGTGTTTTGTCTAGTCGAGTGGGAAATTTGACAATGTTAGAGTGACCAAGTGCTTCAAGGAAGGAGCAATCTGACGAGTTGAAGTCCCCAGTAATAACAGACAGAGAGTTGTCGAAGTTGGCAGCGGCGAACATGGTGAATTCATCGGCAAAACTTGAAAGATTAGATAGTGAGCAACTTGGAGAAATGTACATGTTTGTGATAAAGATGTGTTTATATTTGGGGAGATGTTTGGGACGACATTTGACGGTGATGCAGTCTATGAAGTCATTTGAGAATGAGAAGCAAACATTATTAGAAATAGACCATTTTGAGTTAATAAAAGTTGCAACTCCACCCCCGCTTTTCTTATTACAACATATTCGGTCTTGTCTAAATAGGATGAAGTCCTTTAGAGAGATGAGATTGTCATCGTACAGTTCGTGTAACCATGTTTCTTGTAATGTGATTATCGCAGTATTGTGATAAGTGTCAGTGGACATCAAGGATTGTAGGTACATAATTTTGTTAGGCAGAGAGCGGCAGTTGGTGTTCATTATGACAGGGACCGTGGTTAAGTGTATTGGTGTACGTTTAAGAGCTCTTTGCCAGCCACTACGATGCTTCCTCCTTGGTTTCTTGGGAATATGAAAGTCATTGGGTCGTAAATGAATGATAAAGTTGCGAGAGTAAATAATCCTTTTGGAATTCATATTTGGGTGATAAATAAATGGAGTAAATGGTAGGTTGAATGCAATATGTAGATTTTATGATAGCAGGCCCAAAAATTCAAACAGGCCGCCAAGGTCCAACGATCAGTGTTTCAGGCGAACTGTAGCAAAATATCGCTATAGTGATAAAGATAGGATAGTTGAAGGGTAATTTCATCTACACAAATAATCTACTGTATTCAGATGCTGCACCTTTCGTCATGGTATCATTTACTGGGGACTTCACGTCTCAGGATATTAATTCAACCTATTTTCGTGTGAAGAACAGTCCTTTTTGACAAAAGAATACTATCAGTACTTCGAAATCACCTGTAAATGCTAACAGAACCTTCTGTGGGAATAGAAGTAATCATGTGGATTTGTCTCACCATATGTATATTTGGACAGGAATTATTGTAAGTTGAGAGGTTATTTCTAAGTGGATTTCATGTATATTTGCACTGTTTGGTGTAGTGTAATATGAGTTATGTGGACTCAATGTATAAAAAATACCTCAACTTTATTTATATTGTGCCATTGTTTCCTTAGCTGACTGCTTGGCCAGCAAACGTAGGTGGTTGTCATGATTATTGCAAGTGCAGTGCCGTGGAGAAGGCAATCACTCGTTTAAATTTCCTTACTGTGTCACTTAGTGCATTAATTCAGTGTATAGTATCATTATACACATGGATTGTGTCAATTATGATAACTGAATCTGGTCAGCTCTATTACTATCAATCTACTGTCTGTTATGCCATTCTCACTGGCACTGTAAACTTAATGCTGCAATGTTTTTGATCACCAATAGTGGTGGTGAATTTTTCCTGAATTTTCCATTAACATGAAGCAGTACAGATGCAGTGTCACGATCGAATGTCTAGGTTGCATTATATGTCATTGTTATCCTCATCAACACAACAGGTCTGCGTATCTTACAATATTTTAAGTGTTTCTCTATGCTGCTAACACTGTGCATAGATGCTTAGAGTTGAAGCATGTTCAGCTTATATTTGATGGCTACAGATTCCTAAATATGAGAATGTAATTTCTGTAGGATTCATAAAACTATGCTCATTAGACATTACTGAGATTATGGATCAATTTCTAAGTTACACATTTGCAATACTTCATTTAATGTAAACGTATTCAGTGTGAAGTTGATCTGCAACTAAGGTTAATGTGAGTATGACGCCTCAACAGTATGGAAGCTTCAAAGATTGTCTTGATATTTGCGTGTAATCCTTTAATACTGGAAAACATTTGAGGTCTATTGATGCTTATGGTGTCAATATGAAAACTAGATGTGAACTACAAATACATTTATATGCATGAGATATTACTTAGTATTAACCGAATCAGTGTATTCAGTGTGTGCTAATATGTAGAATTATCTTTCATAAATTCATGTTGTACTAGTCCTTACATGTGCTTTATTTTTTTCAGGTATACGGAAGTTGTCGAATATGAAACCAGCGGAAATATCATCCAGACAAACTAACGTTAATACTCTTCATCGGGATTTTCTTTTGTAAATTAATGAAATGTTTAATATACTCTTCAATTCTACTTCA